GGGTCATTAACGTTTAACCCTTCAAGGAAAAGCAAGACTGGGGTTGCATAATCTGACATCTCTGGTTAGTATCAAGAACTTAATGTAATATTTTGGGTGAATTTGAGTGAAATTAAAAAAATCATTGAGCAGAAAAATTGAGTCGCTTTCTCTTTGAAGGTGGCTCAACACCCTCTGTCTCTTTCAATTACTTTTCCGCCGTAGTCGCTTCTACTACTATCAACTACTCGAGGTCATTAAGCCAAGCAAAATATGTTCACATGAAACTAAATGCCCGTAAAAATCAAGCCCTGATGGGAGTATATTGTAAATTTAGCGTTCTGCTTTATTTTGTTTGAATTTCTGCTTTAAATGGCTCCTTAGATGACCATCTTGACAAAAGTATCCTTTTCGGCCAAAGGTTAGTAGGCAGCCAGTATGAATAGAGGTTGTTTGCCCAAATACTTATTTTTTCGTTGCCACTTGCGAGTAGAATGTAAACAGATGGAAACTTGAGAAGCGAGTAGACAGATTGTGTTTGTTCTAAGGATCACCGCGTTCGTAGGCGCGGTTCTCGAGTGGACATTCGCCAACTATGATTGTGAAATTGACCTGCAGGGTCGGGGGGATTGAGAAGACAGTTGGAAATTGTTGCTACGAGCGGTGTCGTCGATGCAAGATGTGGAATAAGGATGGCAAGGCCACACTTCATGGGACGAAAATAGAATAAAATAGAAGAGAAGCTGGGTTTCGATGAATCTCTTGAGATAATATTGTTAGGGAGACTTTCAGTTGGTAAGAAAGTGAATGAAGAAGAGATTCGTTGGTCGATCCCACCAGATGAGGACGGATGAATCTCGTTGTACTGCAGCCGTTTGGCTTTTATACGATATTCTTGTTGACTCAGTCCACAAGACTTGCTCCCTCGTTTCGGATGAAAACGTTGCTGAGCTTTCGTCCATCATATGATGCACATCATCAGAGCTGGGTTTCATTCTTGCAAAATTCTCACGTTAACACTAAAGCAAGAACAATATCCAGCTCTATCTTACTTCTTATATAGACTCAATTGAACCAGATGAAAATTGAAAACTCAGATAGATGGATATAGTGGTTCGATTAATTATCTTTGATACCGGTCTTGTTACTTTTGCTCGAGTGTGCGCGTGTGTGTATGTGTGCGTGCTAGCGTCTATACGTAATACAAGTATGGTTAAGATAATGAAATATGAGCTTGTAAACATGAAAATCAAGTTACGAAACCATTTGTCCCAACCTTTCAGTCTAGGGTCATTAATGTTTGACCCTCCAAGGAAAGGAAAGAATGGGGTTGCGTAATCTGACATGTCTGGTTG